ACAGTGATCTACAGCACAGGCGCGGATGTAATAACCCCTGTGGAATGAAATTCAGTTGTAATCACTGTCCACGAACCCTGTTTCTCCAGCACTGGCATCCTCCATTTCAAAAATCTGATTTTTTCCCCTCTCAGCTTCTACCCAATAACCCCACATTTATAGACCTGCACTGGGAGATGTCTGATGATTTTGTTATATCTAGAGATCTCCTGTATTCAGCAAGTGTATTAACCGACAAGACTACAGAAAATGGGTAGATATCCTAGCTGGACCTGTTCCGTTCTCCATAAATAAACATTCACTGGATGAAAAAAATATGAATCCAGACAGTTAGGATGCTCCCCTGCAATGTGGGTGGCCAATACCTGAGTTCCTGCCCCAAGTCAGATGCCACAACAATATCAAATTAAATCCTTTAATCACAAGGGGCTATTGGGTACAACAAAATGAATTACAGTATGTGCAAATGCAGTAAGAGGGCAACAAAAAAGGGAAGAGAAGCAGTCAGGACAGGAATTTCATTCTGTTTTTCGAATGAATGGAACTAAGTCTGTCTAACTCCTAGAAAATGTTTACCATTTGCCTAGTCTGGTAGGAACTGATGCCTCTTTCTCCTTAGCATTCTCTTTTAGTTAGTTTCATCATGTCCCCACAGGCTTACCAGTTCCTATCACTCCCTTTAATAAGCATGTTATCATCCCCATTCCTCACAGGAACTAAAGATTTCAATAGATAGAATCATAGAATGGTTAGGGCTGGAAGGGACCTTCAAAGGCCATCTAGTCCAGCCCCCCTGCAAGGAACAGTGTGTAAGATGTCCCAAAATTCATGATGACAGTGTTGACAACTGCAATACATGACTCTATTTTTGGCATGCCAATGTCATGTGACAAGTTAACACAGGCTCAGCTTCCTGACCTGATGAGCAGTACTCATCTTCACAGGCCTGCAAGCTTCTGCTTGAATACCACTTCGCCCTCCGACTCACTCCACCTTGAATGAAACTCATTTGGCAATTTACAGTCATTTTGATTGCATTAAACTATTAGCCTCATCTTCTGTAAACTCCACTACCGTCTCGGCATAGTACCCTCCCCATATATACATTAAAATACGCATGCTTGTGTCCCATAAAGCTCCAGAGAAGACCTAATGATCAGACGCCAGTGACTCCAAAGATAATAGTTCCCCTGAGCCACCAAATACCTTACTGGAATTGTAATGTTTCGGAGAACATTAATGAGAAAACAACTGACATGCTAACATTTTTTAGTACATTAGTTTTCAAATCCTATCTAAAGCCGTTTTCAGCAGCATTGCAGAGTGGAGCCAGGAACCAGTCTGGGGACACACTGTACTCAGGACAAAGCTTTCAATTTTTGCCCGTGAGCCATGGAAAATTACACTAACAGCCCAAA